CACACTTCTCAATTGCAAAACTTACTACAAAGCCACATTAATTAAAACGGCATGGTACTGGTACAAGGATAGACATATAGATCAACGGAATAGAGCATTACAATAAATTATAACATCAAGGAGACAAGAAATAAGCCCACACATCTATGGCCAATCAATTTTCAACAATGGTGCCAAGATCATTCAATGGGGAAAGAACAATCTCTTCAACAAATGGTAGTGGGATAACTGGATATCCACATGCAAAAGAATGAAGCTAGATCTCTCCCTTATATCGTATACAAAAATTAACTCAAAATGGATCAAAGATCTAGATATAAAAGTTAAAATTATAAAACTCTTAGAAGAAAACATATTGGTAAACCTTTATGACCATGGATTTGGCAAAGGATTCTTAGATTTACACCAAAAGCACAAGCAACAAGAGAAAACACGTTAAGTTGGACTTCACAAAAATTAAAAGCTTTTATGCATCAAAAGACTATCTGAAAAGTGAAAACATAACCCAAAAAATGGGAAAAATATCTACAAATCATATATCTGATAAGAGTCTAGTATTCAGAATATATAAAGACCACTTACAACTCAATAACAAAAAGACAAATAACCCAATTGAAAAATAGGCAAAAGACTTGATTAGACATTTCTCCCAACAGATATGCTAATGGTCAATAAGCACATGAAAGATGCTAAACATCATTAGTCATTAAGGAAATGCACACCAAAACCATAATGTGATATAACTTCACACCCACTAGAATGGCTACACAGTTGGCTCTCCTTATCCACAGGTTTTGCATCCATGTATTCGACCAACTGCAGATTGGTTCAATTTATGGTTGGTTGAATCCATGGATGTGAAACTTGAGGATACAGCGGTCCAACTGTATTCATTGTACTACCCATTGTACTACTCATACATGGGGTAGTACTACCCCACATGGGACTTGAGCATTTGCGAATATTGGTATCCACTGGGGTTCCTGGAACCATTTCTCCAAGGATACCAAGGGATGACTGAAATCAAAAAAAAGAAAGTTACAAGTGTGTCAAAAGTGGAACCCTCATACATTAGTGGCTGGAGTGTAAAACGGTGCAGCCACTACAGAAAACAATTTGGTAGTTGTTCCTATAACAGTTAAACATAAAATTTCCATATGACCCAATAATTCCACTCCTAAATATATAGCCAAGAGAAGTGAACATAAGTGTTAAACCAAAGACTTGTACATTGATATTCACAGCAGCAGCATTATTGATAACAGCCAAAAAGTGGAAACAACCCAAACGTCTATCAACTGATGAATGGATAAACAAAATGCGGTATATCCATACAATTGCATATTATTAAGCCATAAAAAGGAAGTACTGATATAAGCTACAGCATGGATAAAACTTGAAAACATTATGCTAAGTGAAAGAAGCCAGACATAAAAGACCACATAGTGTATGATTCTACTTATATGAAATGTCCAGCATAAGCAAATCTATAGAGAGAAAAAGCAGATTAGTGATTGCCAGGGGCTGATGGGAGGGGAAAGTGAACAGTGATTGCTTATTGGGTACAGGGTTTCTTTTGGGGTGATGAAAATATTCCAGAGTTACACAGCAGTGATGATTAAACAACACTGTGAGTGTACTAGAAGTAACTAAATTATATACTTCAAAATGGTTAAAACTGTAAATTTTATGTTATATGAATTTTGATTCAATAAAAAAAATTTACAGTCTTAATTACAGAAGCATTACAATAAATTTTAACATCTAGGAGACCTAGTTCCCCTTCCTGTCTCTTTTTCTTATTCTTGTTATTCCATACCAAATTTTAGAATTATGACATTAAATGCTAAAAACAACAACCAAATGAAATCTCAAAAAAAACTAAACTAAAATGGTGAGGACTTGGATTGGAATACATGGAATCTACAGGTAACTTTAGAGGAGGGCTTGACAACTTGATGATATTATTGAATGTTCCCTATCCCCATATTTAGGTTTCCTTTAATATCTTTCAATACATTTTTCTTATCTTCCGCATTAAAGGTCTTGCTATTGTAAATCGTTTAAATTCTTTGAAATGTGTTTTCTAAAGATTATTGCCACTCAGAAATGTAATAGATTGTATACAATGATCTTATATTCAGCCAACCTGCTATATACTCAAATTATTTTTAATCATCTGTCTGCAGAAGCCTTTATTTTTTCAACAGGACAACCATAGCATCTGTAAATGAGTTTGGTTTTCCAATGTCTGTAACTTTTATTAATTTCACGTTTTGTCTCATTACTCTGGTTAAGGTTCTCAGAACAATATTAAATTAAGTGATGAGAGTGGAAATCTGATTTTTCTCCAATTTGACAACAGAAGCTCCTGTCTGTTCCTTTTGAAGACTAAAGAAGTTTTCTTCTATCTTATTTTAGTAGACATTTTTATCAAAAACGGGTGTTGATTTTTATCGGTTTTTTTTCATCTATTAAGATGACATGGATTTATTTTTTATTAATGATACTTTGTTTAGGATTCCTAATTTTGGAATTATCCATTTTTGCTTTTACCTTGTAAGATCTTTGTCTCAATATTATATCAGTTTCACAGTAAATTCTGGGGAGTGCTTCTTCTCTTATTCTAAACTCTGAAATAATTTATAGGATATTAAAATGATCTGATTCTTAAACATTTGTTAGAACCTGCCTAAAAAACAATCTTATAATTTGTATTCTTTCTGGAAAGATTTTAAGAACTGACTCAATTCCTATAATGGTTTTGAAATTATTAGGGCTTTGTATTGCTTTTTTTCAGTTTTGGCAAATTCTATTTTTCTAGGAATTTTTCCACTCTAAATTTTCAAATTTATTAAGATGAAGTTGTTCATAATAGTCTCATATAAACTTTTAAATATCTACTGATACTATAGTGTGTTCCTGTTTCTATTCCTAGTACTTTATAATCTGTTATTAAATATTTTTAAATATAAACCAAAATAAATAGTCTAAAGAACTCCCATGTATCCCTCATCTATTTTCAACAATTATCCACATTTTGTTACTTGTATTTCATCTATCAATTACATACACACACGCACACAAACACACTTGGTAGGGGAAACACATTAAAGCAAATTTCACACAATTCAACAATTCATCATAAATATCCCAACATACATGAGAGAATGCAGGCTGAGTAGCACAGAATCATTATTTATTAAAATTCAAATAAATAAATTTAAATTTAAAATATTACCTTATTAAAATTATACAGTTTACAATGCATTTAATGCTACTGAATGCAGGGTTCTATACACTTTCATGGTTCTAAGATTATTAGTTTGTTTCAAATTTTCTAGCTTTTTATTAAAGAATTTTATGTTTATCAATGATTTACAAGAATGTTATTGCAGTCTCCATTAACAATGGCATATTTGACGATTTCTCTTCATAGTTCTATCAAATGTTCTTTGAAGCTATTGTTTTAAGTCTAATTATTATCTCTTCCTTTGGTGGTAAAACGTTTATCATTGTGTAGTGAGCATTTTTATCCCAATAGGGATTCTTGTCTTAAACCAATTTTGTCTGATACCAATTTAGATACCTCAATTCTATTTCTCTAGTATTTGATTCTGCATGCTTATTCCTTTTATATTCCAGTGTTTCATGTTTAAATGCCTTACATGTAACTCACAAAATGCCTATAGCTAGCTTTTTAAAAATCTAAATTGATTATCTCTGTCTTTTATCAGGAGAATTTAGTCCATTTTTATTTACTGTGATTATTTAAATATCTGGATTTGTTTCCTCTTTTTCTTTTTTTTGGTAGCTTTTATTTGTTCTACATCTTACCATCCTTTATTACCCTTTTTTGGTCTGATTCAATTTTTTTTTTACAATGGCTGGGTTTTAGTTTCCATTTTCTTCACAGGTTTGAAAGTTATGGCTATTGTTTTACTTATGTTAGCATTTATCCATTAAATTTTACCATGTGTATTTAACATGTCTTCAAAAAAATAAAATGATTTTAGAGCAGATTAACAGCTACTTGACTTAAATGCTATTCTCCAGTATTTTGTTTTTGTCCTTTTTATGCTCGACAGATATTATTTTATATAGACAATGTCTTTTTAGATTTACCTATATTCTTATCAATTTTCTCCTAACACTATTTCTCCCCATTGTTTCCCAACTCAATAAATTATATCTCTACGTATCAAGTGCCATTTCTTATACTCCAAAACCAATCTAACAAATTTTGAGTGCGCCTTCAAAATATATCCAGAAACCAAACACTTCACGTGACCTCCATTACTCCCAAGCTAGTGTACGCCATCATATCCATTATGGACTACTGTAGATTTTATTGCTGCTTTCTCCCCACCCAGCCACATCCCCTCAGCTGGCATTTTATCTGCACAGCAGCCAAAGAGATAGATGAATCAGATCATGTTACTTTTCTAAAAATCCTCCAGTACCTAGAATATTCAGAAACCACATGGCTCACATACTCCCTCACTTCATTAAAATTTGTGTTCTGATTTTGACCCCAAAGGGGTTTTTCTGAAAACATTTGCTAAAATAACACACCACATTTTAATCTCCTCCAAAGCAAAAACATAGACTCCATAACAGCAGGATCATTATATTGTCCACAGGTCTATTTCCAGCACAGAGACATAACTAGCATATAAATAAATTAATATTTATTGAATGAATAAATGATACACAACTAAAATGACACACAAAAGAAGATCACTAATAGGGAGGGAATAAATTTTAAAAAGATCTAAAATGAGATAGGCAAGAATTGGATTGTAAGCACTAAAAATGGTAAATCTGCCTAAAATATTCAAGCAAAAAACCAAGAACGTTCACCTATGAGAGCATTACCTGCAAGTGTGTTTATTCTCAGCCAACTTAAAAAACGGTGCTTCTAAAAAAAAAAATTCCAAAAAGAAAATCTCAAAGAGGCCAACAACTGAACTGACTGGGTTCTAACATCACTAACTCACCAGGGTGGCTTTGGCTTGAGGATTCTTCTTCTAATATCCATGGCTCCTCTCCTTGCTCCAACTTGAAGACCACTTCTGGCTTGGCAATGCAATATTCTGTGAACAGGAAATGACACAGGACTTGGGCCAGGCTCATGGACTTCAGGGCCTCTGAAGGAGAAAGGTACAGCTTAAGAAGCTGTACAACAAAAGGACCATTTAAACTTTTCACTGAGAAGAGGGGGAAAAATGTTTTTTCTATCAGCCAAAAGAGATCAAGCGGGGCTGGCCCAGTGGCGCAAGCGGCTGGGTGCGCGCACTCCGCTGCGGGGGCCCGGGGTTTGCTGGTTCCGATCCCGGGCGTGCACCGACGCACCGCTTGTCAGGCCATGCTGTGGCAGCATCCCATATAAAGTGGAGGAAGATGGGCATGGATGTTAGCCCAGGGCCAGTCTTCCTCGGCAAAAAGAGGAGGATTAGCAGATGTTAGCTCAGGGTCGATCTTCCTCACGAACAAAAAAAAAAAAAGAGATCAATCACTTTATACCCACAGCCCAGGGGTGACCTTTGAACCCTAAATTTCAACTCTATAAATCATTAAAATCTACGAAGGTCATGTATATCAGCAACTTAAAAAAAAAAATGAATGCTATTTGGAATTATATAAAACACAATCCCTACCCACTGAGACAAGGTGCTTTAGTTCTCCAGCATCACATCCCTGTACAAGGTCCTCTGAGCAGGGTCCAGGTGCTGCCACTCCTCCTGGGTGAAACCCACAGTCATATCCTTGAATGACACAGACCCCTGTAACAGCACATTTGTGGTCAATCTACAGTGCCCAGAACTGGATAGCATGCAATATGTTTAGGATCTAACACCTTATCACGTTCACTGTTGATAGATAAAGAGAAAATATCAAACAGTAAATATCAAAAAGTATAGTTCTATACTTTATTTGGCATTATATGTTGTGGGAGAACAAAAAGTCATAGAAGTACCCTAACCATATATTAATTTCTTGATTCATGGGGAAGAAAAAAAAAAAAACTGAGGCTCCCCACTGTGCCTAGAACTGTCTCACATTCTGGGGATGTAAAAATGAATTTTTAAAAATCTTGCTTTCAGGGAGCTCTTCATATGATTCAGAGACATATTCAAAAATGTATACCTGCAATAAAGTGTTGCAGAATAAACGCTAGACGTATCTAAAAGATGGTGGTTGCACAGGAAGAAAAGTGTTAAGTTCTATTTGTATATGGGATTGGGCTACCTTACTACCTTAGGGAAGTAAAACTTTGAGTCCTCACAAATCAATCATGTGTTCTTATGGTTATGGGCCAAAAACAAAGCAAAGGCCTGGAGGCACTGAAAACACTAGGCAAGTTAATGGAACTACAAAGAGTACAATTTGTTGGTGGAAGGATTTGAGAAGTATTAAAATAAAGATCCATAAGCAAAATCAGGAATAAGACTATCACTAATTTGGTGGTAATTCCTATTGCCCAGGGGTCTTCAAAATATTTTATCATAGATTACATACATGTAGTATGAAATATCATTTTTCAATACAAATATATGTAAACAGATGTGCTAGTATTTTCCTCTGACATGCTGATTTTCCTTAAGTGCTCCCTAAGGTATATACCTCCACTCCACTTCAAGATCACAACTGTGGGTGATGAGGAGCCAATGAAAAGGTACAGTAAGTACTGTAGTTATACATCCAGACTTGCATTTCAGAAGCAATGATTTAAACGAGAGTGGAGAATGACAAGAGAAAATACAAGACAAAGACAAGAGGGAGAGATGAACCCACATTCAGGTGGTAAGAATGGGCAGGAGTTGGCGAACTATGACTCATGAGCCAAAAATGTCCAGCCCCATTTTTTACGACCTGCAAACTAAGAACAGTTTTCACATTTTTTAAATGGTTGGGGGGAAAAAGCAAAGGAATACTTTTTGACACATGAAAATTGTATAAAATTCAAATTTCAGTGTTTATAAATAAAATTTTATTAGAATACAACAATGCTTATTTGATTATGTATTGTCTATAGCTACTTTCACACTATAGAAACAAGCGGAGTTGAGTAATCACAAGAGAGACTATATGTGGCACCCTCACTGCTGTGCATTGCTGCTTGGCACACTACAAATCACAGGGATGCAGCTATAACTTCACTGCATTTTGAGTGCCTGGCTTATTGCCATGTTATGTCATTTTATTTTAGTTTTATTATTACCAGTACATATTGTGTCAAAACAAGAAAAGTAGACTTTGAATGTCACATCTTTAAGGCACAGCAGAGTATGTATTAATTTCTTAGCAAATTAAATGGCAAAGCATTATGTTTATTACACAATGACATCATAGCTGTGCTAAAAAGAACACCATATAGGTTGACGTTACCAGACTAAGCATTCAACAACTGTATTTCCAACTCACAGGAAAGTACCAGTCAGAAAAATTTGATCATTTAAAACAGAATATCTCATCACAGCAGAATTTCTTCACAAAAATTAAAAATGAAAATGAAGTTGCAATCAAAATTTCTGAGTAGCTCATTTCTTATCCAAGCAAGGAAACTACTTACCAATGGTGAGTTAACTAAATCTTATTTGATAAAAATAGCTAAAGAAATGTATCCAGAGAAAATAAACCTGTTTTGACTATTAATCTCTTGGTGAGAAAAGTTGCTCACAGAGTTGAGGACACTGGAAGCAACATCAATAGTCAATTAAAAAATAAGACAAATGATCAAGTGGTTTTCCTTGCTCTTGATGAGTCAAAAGATGTTACCAATACTGCTCAGTTGTTATTGTTTCTTCAGAATGTCAATATTAAGTTTGAAGTAACTAGAGAATTAGTTCCTAACTCCTAATTAGTTCCTAAACAGTCTGTGCGGAAACACAGGAGAGAATATTTTCAAACAGGTTGAGAAAACACTAATTCAATACAACCTGAAGTAGAATCTGCTAAGATGTGTTACAACTGATGATAATGTAAACATATGTAGAGCAGAAAAAGGCTTAGTGGGACAAATTTACAAAGACTATGAAAATGTAAGGTGTCTACAGCCTATGGTTATTCATGGTATTTATTCATCATTAAGCACCTGACAGAAAAATTTTGAACCTATAATGTGTAATTGAACCACCAATGGCAATGATGAACTTCATTCACTCTCATGGACATAACCATTGTCACTTCCATGAATTACAGTCAGAACTGGAAGCTGAATATCTTGACTTGCCTTTCCACACAGTATTTCAATGGCTTAGCAATGATAAAATTTTGTGATTTTTTTGAGCTCAAGGCTGAAACTGAAATGTTTCTGAATGAGAAGAATATCCCTCAACATCTATTGTATCAAACACTGAACAGCTTTGGAAATTAGCTCTTCCTGAAGACCTGATAATGTCTCTTAATGAATTCGACTTAATTACAGAGTAAAACAGCTCTTATGCAAATCTTATACTATGATAGTCATTTCAATAACTGATATTATTAGAATCACAAGTAATGTCAATCAGCACATTCCGTGCTGTCAAAAGTTAAAGCGAGACATGGGCTCTCCATTTCCAAAGTTGCAGTGCATATATTTTCTCAGCTCAAACTACACTTCCAGTGGCATTTTTTGGACCTTAATGCAAATCATGATACTTCTATATTTCAAAATCCATTTAACTGTACAATTAAGGAGCTCCCGCTCCCACCTAACCCTCAGTTGGAAGTGATTAATCTGCAATGTAATGACAAGCTATAAGGCAAATACCAAGAGAAGAATCTAAAATAATTCTATAAATGGCTTACAAATGAGGAATATGCTGATAAATTAAAATCATATATTGTGGACTGATATCAGTAATCGACAGTACCTATCTGTGTGAAAGACATTTTCAAAGATTAAATATGTAAAAGCTCATTACAGTTCAGCATTAACAGATGAAGATTTGCAATAGATTCTGATGATATTCGGAAACACTAACAAAGACTCTCAATTAAGCAAAATGTTATCCACCCCAAAAGAACTCCATTTTTCTCATTACTAGATCTTTACTACAAAATACTACACACAATCATTATCATATTTTGAATTTCATCAACAAAAAATTGGTGGAAATTTGTTTACTCTCTTGTTCAATAAGTACCTACACAATACTCTTGATTTTATCTCTTGGCCCACAAAGCCTAAAATATTGGCTGTGTGGTTCTTTACAAAAAATGTTTCCCAACTCCTGGAAAGAACTGATTCTAAAAAATAAGACATTAAGAGATTTTGGTCCCACATTCATGATGCAAGAAGAAAACTGGGGAAACTGCCTCCCAGGGTATCTTTACAAGCAACCTAGTAAACTCAGGTGCCATTTGCAAAGGCTGGGAAGCATGAGAAAGAGGTTGGGCAGAAATAACAGTTAGAGAGGTCCTGGACATGTTGTACTTGAAGTGTCTGTGGAACAGGCAGACAGAGATCTCCAGGAGGCAGCTGGATGTGTGGTCCTGAATCTCAGGAGGGAAGACCAAGATGAAAGTGAGGATAGGGGAGTCAACGGCATTTTGGTGGTAACTGAAAACAGCAGTGAATCTGATGGCTCCCAAGGAAAGAGACTGAGGAGGTAAAAGTACAAGTACAGGATCTAATGGAACTCTACTCAGGCGCCTGGAAGAAAATGGGCCACGAAAATGAAAAAAATTACCTGAAAGGTAAAAACAAAACTAGCAACCTACATTAAACATATAGTTCTTCACTTATGGAAAATGAATAGAAAATGAAGAAGCAGAGATATTTTTTTAAAAACAAGGGCATAATGGTAAGAATTAAGATAATCAAAACAACTGAACTGAATAAAACAAAATCACAGCAAGATATGGAAGAAAATCTGCTTCTAATTCCAAATGGTACTGTTACATATTTGAGTAGAAAACTGCTTAAAGAACTGACTTCAATCACAAGGGGCCATCAGAGAACAAGAAATAATTCTCAAAAATTAAAAAACTTGACTACTGAATTGTGAAAATCAAAATCAAAACTCTCACCTGAAGGCCTGAAATAGAATGGATGGACATAAATGAAAAATTGTGCAAGTCTCCTAGAACATAGAAAAAAAGACAGACTGCCAAGTACACATGGGAGATCTTTCCTGAGCATATAACAAAGCAACAGCTTTCCAGCTTATTAGCCACTACAAAAGTAGAAACTGACTTGCCCTCTATCTGCTGGGTGACACTTGCTCCAGAGACCCTAACAGCCTGTCTGTCAAAGTACTCAGGAAATACACAACCTAGATCATGAAAAGGACAATGACTACGCCCATTTAGGAGTAACCAGAATCCTGAGAAAAGAAGTCCAAGTTAAGCAATTAGTACACAAAGACAATGATAGTGGATGACATATCCAGAAGAGCTAACATGTAAATAATAAGGTTCCAGTAAATTAACGGAACAGATGGAAGAGAATTAATCATGAAGTAAATAAGATACTTTCACTGAGTTGAAAGACTGAGCTTTCACATTGGAAGAGACATACTAAAAGAGTTCAAAATTAATTTATAAAAAAAAAAAAAAACTTTGCTTTTGGCTCTGACATACCAAGAGCTTAGAAGTCATCATTCCCATCCTTATAAGAGGAAAAAGCTAGACAAATTGAAAATCAATGACTTTCCTTGAATTCATCAGAGAAATGAGGTCCCAAGGCAAACTGCCACTCTGAAATCTGGAGAGAGGCATATCCAGAGAGTCACAGCCAAGATCTGCTTACTTGGAGCAGAAGCTGCCAGAGACATGAACTGGTAGGAACACTGAAATGGTAATTTTGAAAACTGCCGGAGGCTACGTAGAGAGAAGCATCAGAGTAAAACACTCCTAGGTACAGCAGTCTTAGCGCAGTCCACATGTTCATGGGCTTTCCCTTCAGAAACCTCACCAGGTTTTCGTGGAAAAGAACCGAGAACTATCCACTCTTAGACATGGCAAGAGGAGGGGAACAGTAACCATTGTGGAAATGTGTTCAGAGTCTTCTTCATAACAAAGGCCTACACTCTGAAATCTAATCCCAGCTGGAGGAAGGGAATTCTTCTCCACTCCATCCATCTCCAGCCTTCCTGTCTCACCTAAGGTGAGGGGAGGGGATATTTAATAAAGGTTAAGGTTTCAAGGAAATAGAGTGGGAACTCTCAGCCAAGAAAGGTGGGGGTGGGGAGTGGGGCGCTATACCACAAAGAAACACTAGTGAAAAATCACAGCCCAGGGACACATTATTAGTCTCAATAAAAGACTGAGATTTGATCTTGAGATTATAGAATGCTTTCCCTCCCCCACACTTTACCACCACACCGACATCAGTGCCAGCTAAATGAGCTGCAAGACACAGACTCTTACTGAGGCAGAGTTCTTAAGGAATCTCAAAGTGAAGAGGGCGGACAAAAATAAGGACACCAGAGGAAACCGAAGCCTCTGGAACCTACAGCTACAACAAACATTAAACACAGCCCAACTCCTAGCCAGAATAACGTAAGTCCTCACACTAAAAGCCTATTTACCTATATTTTTTATTTACTTCAGTTCCTATTACCAGATACTTGTCCAGCTTTCAACAAAAAACTACAAGGTATACCAATAAGCAACAAAAAAAATACACTGCAAAGAAAAGGAATCAGTACCAGGCTCAGCTATGACACAGACATTGGCATTATCATGCAGAGAATTTAAAATAACTATGACTAAAATGTTAAGGACTCTTCATCATAACCTTGTCAGAGGCAAACGGTTCTTTTAAAGACATAAAAAAACTCCACTGAGTACATCACAATTTAAAATTTTATTATTACCATAGAAATTCCCTTGTTAAAAACAAGAGACATAGTGGCGAAAAGTGTTTGCAACATAAATAAGAGAAAAAGGATTACTATCCAAATTACATAAAGGATTCTTACAAGGTCATAAAAAACAGAAAAAAATGGGCAAATATATAAACAAGGCAATCCACAGGAGAAACATAACATATCACAGTTGCTCAATAATTCACCGGTAAATAGTAGACCAGCCATGGTAGGTATTTAATGACAGAAATAGGAAATCACTGTGTCAGCAGCAGCCTTGCAGGTCACAGGATCTTGGACTCTACCCTGTCAACTGCTGGAAGCCAGTGAAGTGGAAGAAACATTGATGGACATTTTAGACAAATTATTGAAAACAAACTTGATATGCTAGAAAACATGCATACAGATTAGAACAAAGAAGAGAAAATGAAGCGATGGTGGGCTACAAAGGTGACTGAGACGACAGATTAAAGAAATATTACGAATTTAAAAGAAACAAGAATGGGATGGCTAACAGATGGACAGGAGAACTGAGATAGAGAGTGGTTTAGGACCTGCTTTTCATCATTTGGATGCCTGGCGGCTAAGCAGTGTTAACATTTGACAGAGAATAAAGGAACACGAGTACTTTCATTTTGGATCTGTTATGTTGAGATGCTTTTGGACAAGTTACACACAGGAGACTAGCAGCAAGGAGCACTGGAAAGACAGACTCTGGAACCCCACAGGTGCTCCCCAGCTACAAGCACAGAGAGGATGGAATCCATGGGAGACAACAAGAATAAGCAGAAGCAGAGGGACCAGGATAGGCACCTAAGGATAATAATGTTTAAGGGCAAAAGGATGAAGAAAGCACCACGAAATAGAAAATCCAGACAAAGGCACAAGCCAGTGGGGTGGTGTCACAGAAACTAACAGAAGACTCTCAGGAGAGAATGGTCAACAGTGTCCATGAGGCAGCAGGCACCAGAAAAACAACCATAATTTGATTATAATTAGTTCACTGTGACCTTTACCAAAAGAGATTAAGGTAAGTGGAAAGGAAGAAAGAAGAATGATCTGAAATGTGAAATAGAATTATGGACATAAGTGCCACAGAGCATAACTCTGAACTGTCTATGCTACCCAATAAATACAGCCTAATGAAAAAAAATTATTTACTGAAATAATCAGCAAAGAAGAGGCATTCGATTCCTTCCTCCAGATACTCGACATCTTATCTCTGGATCAGGAACATCAGAAAGTGGTCTAGAACAGTGATGTCCAATTCGGTAGTCACTAGTCACACGTGGCAACTAAGCATTTAAAATGCTGATATGTGACTTAGGAACTACATTTTAATTATTTTAAACTAAATGTCCACAGATAGCTAGCGGTTACTGTATTGGACAGCATATAGCACTGGACCACAATATTTCGATTGCCTGAAAACCTACATTCACTGAGTTCTCCCTTAGCTCTAGAGCCCTCTGTTCCCAGTGAAGAACTGCTCCATGAAAAAAGCTGCATTTCTTTTAGCGAAGTTATTGGAAGTTGTAACTTCATCATCCATACAGAGTGCAAGAAATTAACTGTTTTAGACTTTAATGCTGGGAAGTCTTCACACCCAGCAATATGGTTTGGTTACATATGGTTTCTCTTTATGGAAACTGTAAATCACATAACAGATGTCTGCATCTTACCATGACTATTGGAAAGACCAGGAACAAATTTGCAGCTCAACTTTAACTCTGTAAGATCATAAAATTTGTGCATATCTATATATTACATCATCCTGTTACTGATCTACTACTGTGTATTTTCCCTGTTGATCTGTATCTATTTCTATATTTCCATTCTCATCTACCAACCCTTAAAAACCTCATACAAGGCATTATAAATAAAGTAGGGAATAACAAATAAACAACTCACCTGGGATCTGTTCATTTTCTGCTGGTTTTGGAAAAGTATGGAGAAGTGTAAAGGTAGAGCTGGGGAAGAAGGAAGTAAGAATGAAGTCAGAAGAATGTGGCCTGCCTTGCAGCTCCTGGATTCACCTTCCTAAAATGCTCGACAGAGGGGGAGTTTGAATAATATGGAAACATATCAATGACCAGATCATGTTGAGCCTAGACAAGCAATTTTTCACTGGATGAAAGTAAAGATATGCATGCCACTGATTTTATTAATAATTTATGTCTCTTTCTCACTGAAGCACAAAGAAACTTAAAATACAACCAATTTATACATTACAGGATACTTATATAGAAACGGTGTTTTCTTTAAACTGATGTGGCTGGAAACACTGACAGTGCATTGTTTACCTGTTTTCCTACAAATGTAATACTGGAAATACTGCTGAAGTTGAACAATTCACAGAAACTCTGAAAAAGAGAACGAGTGCTTTAATATGAGTTTAAAATAATATCTGTCCTAACTTGATTGCAATTATAACTTTTTGATAAGAAACTTGTTTTAACTGTGCAAAGCAGACTATCTTGGGAATCAAGAAACTCTTACGTCTTGAACAGTAACAAAGGAGTGACCTGCCAGGCTCCACATGTTTTATCTTTCAAATGAGACAGAAATAGACAAACCATGTAAACCCTTCTGCACTACCATTAAGTGCTTCTAAGTTCAAAATAAAAGGAGAATAAAAATATCTGGATACTAAATACATGGATATACACCACATATAAGCTCAGGATCTGGAAAATGTGAGTAGAGGACAAAAGAAACGTCGGCTGTTTGGGAGTTAAATAAAACTTCCTCAGCTGTGGTGACCCCTCCCCCAAGCTAAGCACCCACAGAGAAGTGACATTTCCTGTGCAGCCTGCCCCTCACTCACCGCTCAGGGCAGCACACCTCTCTGCTGACATCTGGTCCTGACCTTCCTCCATCACAAAGCTGTGATGGTTTCAGATGTGACATCTGAAGACATGCTTATTTAGGGCAAGGGGATCAAAGACTGCTTCTGGCCTCAGAAATCTAGAATCTTTTCCTTTGGGGGTCTCGTCCACTTCTGCTCTGAAGCGCTGGTGACAGGTCTCAGGGTTGTTTTTTTCCAGGTGGGTCTGTGGTTCATGCAGTTCCTTCCCTCTTATCTTCCACGGACTGCTTTGTTCCAAGGGAAATGGAACTCAGGCCTAGAGGACAAAATCATTTAGTTGGAATCTTCATACAGGGCCCTTTGACTCTCTGGAAGGTCGCTCCCCAGTCTAGACCTTCTATAGGCTCAACGCAGGGCTACCGGGCACACAGGCTGGGAAGTTAGGAGGAGCCCATACTCTCGGTTATAGATCTGAACACAGGGCTCCTGAGAGTCGCCAGGAAGGCACCTGTGCCACTTAGGGGCTGTGAAGGGCCCTACGCTGGCTTTGGGGAGAAGGTCCTATTAGCAGCAACAGGAGATTTGGACAACACACGTGACCTTCAATCCAACTCCCTTGCCTGCTGGCTAGGTGAACTTGGGTAAATCATTCACCTCTCCAAGGCTGTTTTCCTAACTGCCAACACAGATGACCGTGAAAATGCAATAAGATACCAAGTGAAAACAACAGCTGCTTAACCGTTAACCACAGACCCTAGGCTCAACGCTTCACAAATGCCGTCCTTCGGAGCGCAGAGGAGCCGGTGAGGGGCCGAACTCGGCCCCCTCAGGGAAAGCCTCGGAGGCTCGGCTCACTGGCCCGCGCCGCGCCCCTCCGGCGTCGAACCCGGGCGGCTGGCAGCGGGGCCCCAGGGTCTGGGAGTCCGGCTGCGCTCTCTCCGCCGGCGGCCCGCCTTTCACCGCGCCCCGGCCTGGAGCAGCCCCCGGCCGCACCGGCTCCCCTCGACCTCGCTCCACCCTCCATGCACTCTCGCAGCCCTCACGGCCGCGTCCGACACGAGGCTCCACAGCGAGGCCAGAACGAGAAGCTCCCACTCTCCCCATGCAGCCCAGCTGGACCGCGAGCGCGCATGCGCACGGCGGAGGCCGCGCGCGCAACTTCCCATCAGCCCCTGCAGCGCAGGGCTGCCACCGGGAGACGCCAGGCTGCCTGGAGAGAAGAGAGGGGGGTCGCAACTCCGGGCGCAGAGACCCGCAGAAACGAACTCGCAAGGAGACACCAACGCTAGGAAGGAAATACGCCCGAACCGGCTTTTCCTAGCACAGGAAAATAATGATAAATGTTTCATTATCATACTTTTTGCAAAGCTAGCCTCCAAGAATTACAGGAATTACAGTAATATACGAAAATTTTAGGAAAATCAGAAAATACAAACCAAAAGAAACAATGGACACAGCTTCACCTCCTGCTCCCTGAGATTTATGTGCCTATTATACGTACAACCTTCTGACAGTTTGCAGAAATGTAGTCATATATGCATAATTTTTATCACTATCCTTGCAAAAAAACCATAAGACCATTTTTCCCAATGAGAATAAGAGAAAGTTCCATTCACAGTAGCATCAAAAATTGTACAAAATACTCATTATACAAGTTAAGAAAATCTGTAAAGAAAATGACATTTTGTGGTGTATGACATTTAAAAGATTTGACTAGCTAGCGATTCCTATTACTTTCCCTGGAAGAAGACTCAATCTTGAACAATATTCCAAACAGACTCTGAATAACTTTCTATGCCTGTTTTGCTTTTTATTTTGTATTGTCTTACTCAACAGGACACTGTAAGCTTACTCAAAGAGAAAAAATAAGAATTACTGTTTGAAAAAAAAAAAACCAGTAATGCTTAATATATATTAAAAGTATTCTATTGTTATAATTTTTTTAAGTTTGGAATTAGCACCAAAGAAAAGAATACTTAAGAATTTATTACATGGTTTAGTGGGAAAAGAACTGAATATTCAAGTAATCATATTGGACAAAAAGACACTTGAAATTAAATGAGCTTACATACCAGTTCACACATTGCATAAATGCATTTCAAATATGAAATCAAGATTACAATTTTATATGTAAATTATTATGTTCTTCTCACAATTGTTTTTTTAACAAAGTATTTCCTAGCTCTGGCCACTCAAAGAGCCTGGATGCAATTGTTTAAAAGAAACAACAGACCTAAGATGGAGTCACTTTTGCTAAGCCCACATCACCAAACCAAGACCTAATACCTAATCCAATTACAGTTTCAACCTTCTCTAGGAATGTTATCTTAACTGGTCAGTATGGAATTCCCTGGTCAGCAACAGTGAGATAATCCTCCTAATAGACTCCTTAGTCCTCCAAAGGAAGGGGACCTTGTCTGAAATAATCTTTTTTTCTGTTTATGACTTCCTTGTCCCATCCCCGTCTCTGCCGTTAAAAGCATTTCCCTTTCTGTAGCTCTTTGGTGCTCCTATCTGCTAGATGGGATGCTGCCCAATTAATAAATCATTGAATAAAGCCAATTACATCCTCAAATTTGCTCAGTTGAATTTTGGGGGTTTTTTCACAATTTTTTTTACAATGATCCTCCAGTAGCGACGAGCACAGCTAGTACTCAGAAATTATCCACGAAAACTAGACAGTGATCTTTGGTAAAGTGATTTATTGCAAATCTGGCCAAGAAAAGTACAAGATGAAACTGGGAAAACTTGTGCTAGAGAACAAAGAAGCACTTACAGATCAATGGGGTAAAATACACACAGGTGCAACCTTGAGGAGGCACACATTAGCAAAATTATGGGGTCAATTAAGGCACCTAAAAGAATAATTTTTTTAAATGGAAGGAGGAAAACTCCCACTTTGGAGAAGATAGAGTAGATGTACTTTTCCCTATTCTACCTCCTAAGTACAACTAAAACCCTGGACATTATATATAAAACAAATATAAGAAGACTCTGAAAGATAAAGAGAAGGCAAACCAGATGGGGAACCTCAGGATCCAAGGAACAAATAGTGATCAGTTCACTGGGTTTTCTTTTTGCTTCACCTATTCCAAATTTGGAGCTAAAGGAAGTGACAAATGGAAATGCCAAGGGGTGCAGACAACAAATGCCCCAAACCAAGCGTGCTTTCTCTAGCCAATGGACCAGGAAAAGAGCAGCCTAACAAGACAGAAATCTTTTAGTCAGTAATCGCTACACTCCAGACAAATATCACAGAAAGAACTATTGCCCCAATCCCACCCACACCAGTAAAGACTGAGCAGGAAGCCTAGACTTCCATCCTCACCAGTCTATAGAGATATGCCTTAATCCCCCCACCCTCCATTAGAGAGTATCAGAAAGGCCAAGAAAGGTACTGAGACATTTGTCTCCATCCAGTAGTAATGAGGCTATCCCTACCATGATGTCAGTGGAGACCATGTGGGGAGCCAGAACTCCCACCCTCCCTGGGGAGTAACAAAAAGCCCCCAACTCAGGTTTCAAAGGAGGAGGAGTGGGAAACCTAGATTTCCACCTCCACCTGTCAATAAAGAGACAGTGCCTCCCAATTCCCCTGCTGAAGCAGTATCAGAGAAAGCCAGCTAAAACAGAAGATTTAAATAAGATCCAGAGGCTCCTAAGATAATATGAAAATATCCAGGTTCCAACCAAAAATCACTCATAACAAGAAACAGGAGGAACTCAAACTGAATGAAAAAATACAATCAGTAGATGCCAAGATGACAGGATGTTATAATTATCTGACAAAGATTTTAAAGCCATGGTGATGAAAATGCTTCAACGAGCAATTACAAACACACTTGAACGAAATAAAAAGCTGAAGAATCTCAGCAAAGAAATGGAAGATACAAAGAACCAGCAAGTGAAAATTTTAGAAGTAAAAAATACAATCACTAAAGTTAAAAACTAAGTGGGTGGGCTCAAAAAAATGGAGAGGACAAAGGAAATAATAGTGAACTGCAAGAGAAAACAATAGAAATTACCCAACCTCAACAACAGAGAGAATATAGACTAAAAAAAAAGAGCCTCAGTGACCTGACAGACTAAATTTAAAAATTTAACATTCATGTTATCA